TAAAGAACAATTAAATCAAGGGCATATTGAGCCATCAACAAGTCCATGGAACCACCCCAGTGTTTGTGATTAAAAAGAAATCAGGTAAATGGAAGTTATTCCATGACTTAAGAAAAATTAATACAGTTATGGGAAGTATGGGTGCTTTACAGCCTGGAATACCATCTCCAACTATGATACGTTCTACTTGGTACATTTTGATTGTCAATTTAAAAGACTTGTTTCATTACCATTCCTTTACATCCTGATGATATCCCAAAGTTTGTATTTACAGTGCTCTCTGTCAATCATGCAGCAAAGAAAGCTTTTTACAGATTCAGCCAAAACTGATGCAAGAGTTTGGGTTGCATATTGCACCTGAGAAGGTGCAACAACAGCCCCCATGGAAATATTTAGAAGTTAGACTAAACAATGCAGCCACAAACAATTCAATTTTCAACAAAGATCCCAACATTAAATGATGCACAAAAACTTTTAGGTATCATCAACTGGGTATGACTCTATTTAGGGTTAACTACCCCACATTTATTATCCTTGTTTAATATTCTTAAAGTTAACTTCCTCAAGTGTTATGGTTTAACACAGCTTGTTTTTTAGTTAAAACCTGTTTTGCCCTCCTCCTAATCCTTATCTCACAACAAAAAATGAGTAAATAATACTAGTGGGTGCACTGGCATTTAGCCAGCGCTAGACCCACTACATTAATTGGTGTGTTGGTTGGAAAACTGGGATTGGCAAACCAAAACCATTACACTTAATTGGTGTTTCCGCCCAATTACCGAAACTACTGCATCTTTTGGTGGAGAATGCATGTAATTGGTGAAAGCTGTGAGATGATGATTAATTAGGAGAAATAAGGGGCAAAACAAGTATTAAGCCATAAGGTTAAATAGAATGATAGTGGAAAATTTATATTGTAATTTTATTGAAATGTCTAGGGGTGGAGGTTAGTGTAAGAAATTTTTTCCTTCTGTTTAATTTAGTAGTTTTTATTGTTCTAAGTAGAAATTGCATGTTGAATGTAATTTTGATAATTTTAAAATGTGTATTCACAGAGACGAGGGATGGAGAATGTCATGGTTTAACATAGCTTGGTTTTTAGGGAAAGAGATAATCCATCAGTTATGGAAGTGATTCTCTGTGAGGACTGCTAACATCTTTCTCTGGACCCAACAGAACCAATCAACTGGCTAGTTTTGTGTACTGACACCCTGTTAAACCACTTAAGGAAGCTGAACACACCTCTATGAAATCACATTTAAAAATGGACAAAACCCAGGAAAAGCTCTTTTGCTTCTGGCTTTTGAACAGGTAACTGGACACTGCCTCCACCACATGGCCCACATGAGCTAGTATGGCTGGGCCAGCCCCTGCTCTGCTGCAGTGCTGACCACACCGTTAAAACTCATAATGGCCCTGCCTATATCTCACAGAAAACTCATCAATTCTTGCAGTTATGGGGCATGTTGCATCTCACTGGCATTCATCATTCCCCTACAGGCCAAACCATTGTTGAGTGTGCCCACTTCACTTTGAAGTGCATTCTTGACAAACAATAAGGGTCAATATCTGGTGAAACCCCTCAAAGTAGGGTAGCCAAAGCTCTGTATACACTGAATCACCTTATAATATTGCCAAACTTCCAAAACCCTATTATTTTAAATCATTTTTTGTCATTGCAGTTCTTTAGTGACCTCCAGTTGCCCAAGCCTAAGGTATGGGTATGGGGACCTCATTACCAGCAAGTGGGAAGGTCCTTGGGACCTTGTTGTTTGGGGTGTGGGTATGCTTGTGTTTCTACAGATGCTGGTATTCGATGGGTACCTGCCCAATGTGTGCACCCTGCTCGACACTCTGCTCTGGATCACAACCAGCAACGCCTCCCTGACGGCCCCTCAGCTGATGGCTGTGGAACAGTAACAATGTTTGGGCATGGTTGCTCCATGCATTGAATCAGATGGGATTTTGTGTATCTGTGGCACAGCCAGAACAACCTTTTCACACCTTCTTAAGTGAGGGTACACTTAAATGGCACACAAAGTGTACAAGTAACACAAAATGTTGTCAAAATGCAATGCTCTTCCCAGAACAATTGTAATACTAAAACCCCCTGTATGGAACTGTGGGATGTTTCAAATGACAATTTACCTGTGCTTCACTTGAACCCCAAGAGTTAGACATTTTAGGGACATTATCAGCAGAAGGATGTGTAATTTTTAATTACACACTGAAACATGATATGTGAGACAGAATTTGGAACAGACAAGCAAAATTTTACCCCCAGTAGTTTCTGGATTAAATAGATTGGCTTGCTTTGTAGCAAAAAGAGTAAATGAAACTTCCTCAATTTTGAGTGCTTTGGCTATAGATGTAGATAGTATGCAGCATGCTATTGATTTTCTTTTGTTAGCTCATGGACATAGTTGTGAAGAGCTTGATGGCATGCGTTATACGGCAGATTTTCTGGGACAGATCACTGGCTAGAAGGGTTAAGTTTGTCAAGCTAGGTGAAGAGCCTCATTCCAACTGGGCTTATAATTTTTTGTATTACCATAATTGTTTTGCTCATTGTGCCATATTTGTTACCCTGTCTGCAAACGGCCCTGCAGAGCATGATAAAGACTGTCTTTGCAGCTGAAAAATAAAAAGGGGGAACTATGATGGCTAACAGCTGGCATGAAAGCCTCACAGACACAAGTAACCTTGACCTTGACTTGATCAGCCTGTACCCATGAGAAAAGGAAGTAAACATCTTTATGGAAGAAAGCACTGAAAAGCAGGACCTTACTGCAAGGAGTGGATGCTGGCCAATCTTTGGTGAGCGGTATGGAGGCAGCTATTGGCCACTGAACTGGGTGGCAATAAGTCGCCAGCCAATTGTGAACAACACACATTGCTTTTCAAAACCGTATGAATGAGAGATATGAACAATAAAGGTTGCTATTGATGCTTGAACCTTGGAGTGTCGTGTCCATCTTTACTAAAACACAAAAGGACATGGGAAGTATTCAGTGCTGCTCATGATGTGAGAGCCTATATCATATTCATATATGCTAATGAGTTTAATAGCTTAACTCAGTGTGTTTACACAAAACCACAAGCTACCTGTCTTAGGGTGCTGTTTGCTGTGAAAGAGGCCCAAATGGAGGCAGCACATGTGGCTGGTTTTTTTCTGTCTTGGGAACTCTGTGCTCAGCATATCTGGAGTTCTATTCTGAAATAAATTGTCAGAGTTGCCATGCCAACTGTGTTGCTTAGGTCGTGGAGGAGTGAGTGTGCTGCTTGTACAGTGCTCCCTGAAATGCTGATAAATCCCAGGAGATGGGGTGG